CTTTATTTTTATTTGTGTGTGTGTGTGTGTGTGTGTGTGTGTGTGTGTGTGTGTGTGTGTGTGTGTGTGTGTGTACACGCGCACGCGTGGGCTAGTACTGGGGCTTAACCTCAGGGCCTGGGCACTGTTATTAGTGTTTTTGCTCAAGGCTGGCCCTCTACCACTTGGGCCACAGTTCTACTTCTGTAAAGCCTGCTTTTTGTAGTGTATAAAATTTGGCAAGAAATCATTGGAATGGAGATGGCCAGGTTCAGCTAGAGAAGAGGATGTTTCTTTCTGGCTGGATCTCCCACTTTTTCCTGTGTGAGAGGAATAATGAGCTTTGTCCCCATCTCATGTCTCCCACTGCCTGAGTTACTAGGCTCTAAGGTTAATGCTGGCGTCGCTGAGGCAGAGCCATAATAGTCCTTTCTCTGTAGGCTGAAATGATCACTGTTGAAAAGAATGTGCCACTGTCCATATTGTCCTGACTGAGCCGTTGTCCTCTGGAGGGCCTGCTCAGCTCAGTCATGTGAGCTGCGGCCTCACAATCCCTGACTGGGCCTCCTTGTAGTGATCATCCCTCCCTTTCCCCAGAGGAAGACGGAGGTGTTTCTGTCTAGTGGACAGGCGCAGATGGGAAAGAGCCAGTTAGTGAGGACCACAGGGCGTCTACCCGGCTCAGGTTCCTGCGTGTCCGGCTCCACGCCTTGACTCTCACTTCAGCATGCCTGAAAGTCACTGGGGGAGCTTGTGAAGAACATGGTTTCCCTGGCCTCTACTCTGGTTATTTTGTTTCTGGGTTTTCAGATGCACTCCCAGGAGCTTCTGATAAATGAGGTGTTTGGACCACACTGGTGTAACACTGAGGGGAAAGTGGGCGTAGACCCTTTCCTGAGCCCGCTCTGTCATCTGCTTTTAGAAAGATGAAGTATGTGTGAAGTCACAGGAGGCTGCCAGACGCTTGTTGTTGGAGCTGCCATCTGGGGTGAGGATGTTCAGTCAGTCCGCTCATAACATCCACTGACTGGGATGGGATTGCTGCGCTCACTGTTAGGTGTCCTGTGACAGGTTTGGGGAGGGGTGGTTGAGGGACAGGTAGGTTGCCATCCTTGATAGTGACAGCTGAGAAGCCACTCCTTAGGGATTTGGTGGCGACTCCAACTGGAAGAGGTTTATCTCCATTACCAGCCTGCTTTCTCTTGCAAGGGCACAGGGTAGAGTCACACGCATGGCAGGAGTCTAACCTGCGCTGCTCAGAGCTGTGAAAAGCCTCTCTTTCTCCATTTCTGTCTCTTCTGACCAGTGAGATATTTAGAAGGAATTTCCCTGCTTAGCTCCGCTAGACCTTGGAGCACATTCCTAGGGAATTATTCTTGTCTCCAGGGGCATCACCCTGGCCTTGAAATTTTTTTTCCAGTTATTTTGTTTCCTGTTTGTTTAATTCCTTCCCTTTCCATTCCACTGTCACTTGAATTCTGACTGCATTTTCAAGTAGACCAGAACCCTCACCCCCACCGTGCCCGGGCAGGCTGTTGTATTGTTGCCCTTATATGTTGTTCTCGCATCACAGTAGGCTCTCTCAGACTGATTGAGGGTGCTGCTTTCTTGGGGAGTACGGAGCTTCCTTGGGAAGATGTAGATCTTCCTCAGTCAGTCTGGCATTCTGAGGCTGTGGGTCAGGTGTAGCTGGGAGCCAAGCAGTCTCTCCACACTTCTGTTGAGACCTTATGGGAGAGACTCTGTTTGGGACCTGAAACACATACCTGGCTTTCCCCCTCACATCCTCTTAAGTGTTCCTTGCATAGGACTTACCATCACAGGTGACAATAGCATACCTTGGTGTAGGGCACACATGAATTTGGAGAAGTCCAAGAGGTAAACGGCAAGGTGTAGAGGTGGGACCCAAAGGTTCAAATAATGTCGTTGTCTTATGCCCCCCTACTTGGCTCCTTGCTTCTTCCTGTGTTCTACCACCAAGCTCCATCTCCAATCCCACTCCAACTTCAGCTTGACCAGTTCTGTATTGCCCATCGGGTGATTTCCCTAAGCCACTGGTAGGTTGTTTGTTTGCTGTTAGCTAGAATTTTGTCCACTTATTGGGTTAATAGGGATTATGTCATATGCATTAGGATCTTTGATTCTTAATAAAAGGAATTATTAATTTCATTTCCAAACAGGCTATTTAGAGCTGAGTGGGCCTAGGGAAGGGTGGTGGGGGTGGTGGAGTTGGGTATCTTTGTCTCTATAGGCCTGTGCAGCCCCCTTGGCAGGCAGAGAGGATTTGTTTTCCTCAACTAACAAGTCCCAACTTAAAAGTCATTTTGCTGTCTTCATTAAAAAATATCCACAGTTGCAACTGAATTATTCTAACTTATGTAGTGGCATTTGTCTCAGTTGTTGGTATGTAATTTATAAAATAAGTTCCTCCTTCCCTCCCTCCTTCTCTTCCAACCTTAATTCCCCTGTCCTCCTTTTATTCCTTTCCTCCTACTCCTTTCCCTGTCCCTCTCCTAAACCTTTAACAAAATGGACTTTTCCCTCTTGGTTTGCCACTGCCTGCCTGCCCCACATCTTACCCATGTCTATGCTGGGGTCCAGATGGCTGATTTTTATGACCTGATCATACCTCAGATGGGAGGTATGAGGTCTAGAAGGAGACAAATGTTTCAGCAGGCTAGAAATTTCAGAAGGAAAGTTGTAAAATGAGAAGAGCATACAAACTGTTGGGAAGAAGGTGAGAACAAAATGAAAGTCAGTTCTGGAAATAACAGGATGTGTCCTTGTGGTGGGATCCAGGTTTGGAGCTGATATGTGGAGGCAGTCTTGGAAGTTCCTTGCCTTCAAGCAGCTGTTTGCCTTTATAGCTCAGTCCTGAAGTAGGGGGAGAAGTTAAAAGGGCTTGAGGTATACACAGCCCACTTGGGCAAAGCCATGGAAGTGTTCTGAGCTGCTAGCGCTGATCTGCTGGCTCTGCTGCTCCTATGCCTGGCTTATATCACTTTTAGAGTTGGAATTGAAGTTTCATTTTGCAGCATATGTTGTGCTGGCTCTGGGGTCTTTTCAACTAGTGTGGGTTCTCCCCCCCCCCCCCCCACTCCTGGGGCTTGAACTTAGGGCCTGGGTTCTGTCCCTGAGCCTCTCTGTGCTCAAGGCTAGCTGCTCTACCACTTGAGCCACAGTGCTACTTCTGGCCTTTTCTGTTTATGTAGTGCTGAGGAATCAAACTCAAGGCTTTATGCATACTAGTGTGGTTTCCTATCTCTAGATGTCTCTCTTATCACCTATCCTAAAAGCCTCTCTTGTCTATGAGCTTAAGAAAATAGGCAACTATGTAAATTACATAGCTTTGTTTTGCTGACTGTAAGAAATACTTCATTAACTTTTTCCTCCTTCTCAAAGTCTGGGTATTTCTGAGCCCTTCAGCAGAGATCTGAGCAAGTTGGGCCTGTTGATCAAAGGCCTTCTCCTTCCTTGATCCAGGCATTTGGTGTTTTCAGTGTCCAGAGGCACTCCAGTGCCCAGGAGGCAGGGATATCCTGGCCCTCGCTCACAGGACTCCCCAAGCCTTTTCTTTGCCATAGTACTTGGAGGATCAATAGGAGCCCTGAAAGGGTCTTACTGCCTCTTTTGTTTGTTTGTTTGTTTTGGTCATGAGGCTTGAACTCTGGGCCTGGGCACTGTCCCTGAGGTCTTTAGTTCAAGGAGAGCACTGTACCACTTGAGCCACAGCACCACTTCATTTTTTTTGGTGGTTAATTGAAGATGGGTCTCATAGATTTTCCTGCAGTCCTCAGATCTCAGATCTCAGCTAAGATTACAGGTGTGAGCCACTGGTGCCCAGCTTACTGCCTCTTTAGGAACCCCCTCAGCCAGGATGCTAGGCCCTGCTGGATGTCTTCTGCTTCCCCTACCCCCAAGGTGGCCAACATCATCTCACAGGAGAAGACAGGGGGTGGAGTACTAGAGAGACTGTGAAGCCCCTACAGGGCCCACTGGAGGCCACCATTTGTTCTTGTGTTTAATTGAAGATTGGAGGGAGGTGCCGAGGGACATCTTCCAGGGAGACCCAGCACTGCCCACTTCCTAGCCCAGAAGTAGAGCAGGCTTACCTGCTTTGTACCAAAGGCGGTGACACATGGAAGTTCTGGGGTCCCTGGCACATCATAATGCCCTGTACCCGAGCATTGCTTCTGATATTGACACATCTCTGTGGGTTGAGCTGGGAAACCCTCATTGAAAATGTTCTTTTTTCCTTTGTGAGACTGGGGAGTCTCAAGCAGAAAAGAGCTGGATTAGAGTGTAAAGCCTAATTAAATTACTCATGCAGTCAACACACATAAGGTTTTATACCTGTCCTTTGGCAGGCTTTAGGGGATTCCTGAGAGCAGGCCAGATGGGTAGAGAGGTGGAACATGCCTGCCTTCAGCCAGGGTTGGTTCGGTGTCGAGGGATGGAGAGAAGGCAGCTGAAGTTTTTTGAGCAGTGCTTTTCTTACTTGTGTGGCTGTATGTGATGAGTGATGATTTTGTTCCCCAGGTCCTCTTTTAGAGATTTTATTTTTGATGTACCCTTGGCCACCTGAGCCTTAGGTGAGGAAGCTGAGGCTGTCTGTTGTTGCTGCGGCACGAATAGCATAGAGCTAGGTAAAGTGGAAGGGCCACAAGAGGAGGGGTGCTGACAGACCCTCAGCTGTGCCGGGGGCAATGTGCTGGCTGGAGGATCCAGCCTCTTGACTCTAGGCCTCAGGCTCTCCTCCTCTGTATAGTGGCAAGAACAGTCCTTACCCAGAAGGTTTATCACATGGTCAATGAGTCATAGCCTGGCCTCGGGGACTCTGAATAGCCAAGCAGGTGGCAGTGGTGAGTGGAACCCCTTGATTTTCCTCCTGTACTGTTTTACCTGACAATTCCCTGGGTCTCAGGTTCCTAATTTTGTACAGGACTTCACTTCCTCTATTTGACTGTGGTCTTCTTGAGGACAAGGGCACTTTCTAATCTGTCACATCATTTATTCAACAGTATACATACAGTGCTTGTTGCTGGGTACTCACTGTGAATGAAATTGATGGAGCTTATCAGGCTCAAGGACCAGAGCCCCATACCAGAGATGTGGACTTTACTCTAGTTCTGTAAGTATTTCTCAGGAAGAAGAGTGGGGAGACATGTTGGGAGTCAGTCACTGTAGCTTTAGGCCTCAGTCTTCTTTTGTGGCATGAGGGAGTTAGGCTGGAACCCCAGCTGCTTTTTTCATTTTTTGGGGGGAAGGAGGGGGGTAGTCCTGGGGCTTGGACTCAGGGTCTGGACACTGTTCCTAAAGTTTTTTGCTCAGGCTAGGCTAGCACTCTACCATTTGAGCCACAGCTCAACATCGAGCTATTTTTGTGCTTAATTAGAGATGAGAGTCTCATAGCTTTCTTTTCTTGCTGGGGCTAGCTTTGAACCAAGATTCTGATTTTTAGCCTCCTGAATAGCTAGTTATAGGTATGAGCCACTGGTGTGCTGCATGAACTGTTATAAGATTGTGAGCTGGTCACTTGCGGGAGGTTCTAGAAGAGCAGTCAGAGCCTTCATAAATTCTTGAGTAGGGAAGGTCAGGAGAGAAGTGGCCTTTAAAGACAACTCTCCTGGCAGTTAAAAGCATGGTGAACCAAAGCCAAAGTGCAGCAACTTCAAAGGTACAGACAACACTTTGGTTTCTAAGGTAGCCTTGAAATAAGAGGCCTTCTTGTTCCCACATGTGATTTTAAGATGATGAGGATTATGCTGAGAATGGAACTCAGTGGTGGAGTGCATGCTTAAGCCTAGGGTTCACTCTTCAGCACTAAAAGCTAGAATAAAATTGACTTATCAGGATCAATTCCCCCTCCCTCCCCACCCTGATTATTTTACAGCTGGCTTTTGGCTTGCAGTAACCGTACAACCCACAAGATAGTTAATTCTGTTATGAAATTGCACTACAGTCATAGTTTTGTTTTTGTTTTTTGATCAGTCGTGGAGGCTGAACTCTGGGTCTGGACGCTGTCTCTGAGCTCTTCAGCTCAAGGCTAGCGCCCTACCACTTGAGCCACAGTGCCACTTCCGGCTTTTTTTCTGCTTATGTGGTGCTGAGGAATCAAACCCAGGGTCTCATGCATGAGAGGCGAGCACTCTACCACTGAGCCACCTTCCCAGCCCTAGTTCTGTTTTTTTTTTGTTTTTGTTTTTTTTTTGATCAGTCACGGGGCTTGAACTCTGGGCCTGGGAACTGTCCCTCACCTCTTCAGCTCAAGGCTAGCGCTCTGCCACTTGAGCCACAGCGCTGCTTCCAGTTTTCTGATGGTTTATTGGAGATAAGAGTTTCATGGACTTTCCTGCCTGGGCTGGCAGGCAGGATCTCAGCCTCCTGAGTAGCTAGGATTACAGGCGTGAGCCACTGGCGCCCGGCAACAGTCATAGTTTATTTCTTTGCCTTTAAAGGTTTAAATTTCATTCACTTGTAACTGATGTGGCTGTTTACAGTTTTGAAGGCAGATGGGCTGTCTTGCACTCTGAGTGGTTGGGGTGTGTCCACTTGGCAGTCTGTGCAGTCATGCTCAGCAGTGGCCCTTGTGGAAGCGTCTGGGCCAGGCTGTTCTGCTTCACAGGCATTCATGCCACAACATGGTTTGTGTTTGTTCTCCCTGTAGGTCATGGCTTCCAACTTCTCAGGTCTGGGGCTCCAGAGGAGGAAATGACTGTTCAGGACTCTTGCTCTTACTCCAGCTGGATAACGGAAAACTGGACCTTCATAGGGTGCAGACTTACCAAGGATAGGAAAGTTTCTCTCTTTGAAGGACTTTAAATTTGCAACAAAGAACATAAAAATGACCACTTCATCTATCAGGCGGCAGATGAAAAACATTGTGAACAATTACTCAGAGGCAGAAATCAAAGTCCGAGAAGCCACTTCCAATGATCCATGGGGCCCATCCAGCTCACTGATGACCGAGATTGCTGACTTGACTTACAATGTAGTGGCCTTCTCAGAGATCATGAGCATGGTATGGAAGCGGCTTAATGACCATGGCAAGAACTGGCGGCATGTGTACAAGGCCCTGACACTGCTGGACTACCTCATTAAGACGGGTTCTGAGCGGGTAGCCCAGCAGTGCCGGGAGAACATCTTTGCCATCCAGACCCTGAAGGACTTCCAGTACATTGACCGTGATGGCAAAGACCAGGGCATCAACGTGCGGGAGAAGTCAAAGCAGCTGGTGGCACTCCTCAAGGACGAGGAGCGACTGAAGGCTGAGAGGGCCCAGGCTCTCAAAACCAAAGAGCGCATGGCCCAGGTGGCCACTGGCATGGGCAGCAACCAGATCTCCTTTAACCGAGGCTCCAGCCAGCCCAACCTCTCCACCAGCTACTCGGAGCAGGAGTATGGCAAGGCTGGAGGGTCACCAGCTTCCTACCATGGCTGTGAGTAATGGAAGTGCTGAATGGGCACTGTGTAGAGGTGGCAGTACTGAGCAGGTGGTGTGGGGTGCCTTAGGACTGAGGAAATGATGTCCAGCACCGGGCCTGGCTGTCTGCTGTTCTCAGCTTTAGGCAGCTCAGACAGTCCTGATTGAGTTATGACCACAAAGGGGCTTTTGGTCCCTTGTCCGTTCCATGGGCTTCTGTGCCTCTGACAGAGCAGCTTGCATAGCTTCCTGGGTTCTGTAGAGACGATGAGCAACGAAGCAGCTTCTTTGTTCAGGAAGCTCTGCCAGCAAAGGGTTTGTCCTGCTGCCCAAAGAGAAGCTGAATATTTGGTAGCCAGGAAGAAAAGAATGCTCTTTTTGATAAACTTATTCTTTAACTTTATATGAAGTGTTTTGTTCCTGGCTGAGCTGTGGGTCTCGAATGGCTCAGTGTATTACTCTATTTTAGCCTCCCAGAGGGAGGACATTGGATCTCACTTAAAGAGGCAAACTCAAAGAAACCTCTTCAGGTGGCCAGAGACAAAGGCCTCCTTTCTGGGCACGCGGATTGCTCAGGGATTTGGGTGCACGTCTGGGTCTGCACTGGGTGAGGCTAGCCTATTCTGGTTTTGTATGTCAGAGCACTTTGAGTCTTTGCCCTACATTACATTCAGAAGAGGTTTCTGGGAGAGGGAGTTCAGACCTGACAGAAGCTGATCGCTGAGCCACATTCACTTCCTAGCTTCCTGGCTGGTTACTGAAAGTGGTCCCAGGAACTGGGCCTTTTTGCACCTTTACATTGTTGGATGACTGCCTGTGGACCCAACCCTCTGAGAGAAAGATGTCCCAGTGGCCTTTGTGTCCTGGGGGCAAGGATGGAGGTAGGGAATGCTGAAGTTGTGTCTTCTAGATTACGCAGATACTGTACCTTTTAGAGTTCACGGCACTGTCAGCCTAACAGCAGGCCCTTCTAAAGGAAGTTGTTTATAGTTTGACAAACCCTTGTTAACCCTGCGTAATCTGTGGTTCTGTCACCAGACCACATGCCACCATTTCCTGCTTTTCTAGGTTTTAATTTGACTTTGTGCTGCCTACCACACTAGCATTTTGAGCAGTGTGTCAAATGAGAGATTTGCATACCAAAGTCAGATTTCCTGCCTCTAGGAATTCTAAATTATTACCAAGCTTAGAGCAGATTAGTATTTCCTGGTCTGTTTCTAGTCATTGTCACTTGCTCTCAGTTGAACTCTCTTTAAGCAATGGTCACAGCCTTTGTGACACCATGTGGAAGTGATAGTAAAGTCATACCAGCAAAATGAAGATTGATTGTTGTCTTATTCCTCTCACGGATCATTCTGCGATGCCCAGAAAGATGACTTTTGGAGTGTGTTGGGGTCTATTCCTCCCCCCCCTCCCGCTTCCTCTGTCATTCACTGCCGTGGTTGCTGTGGTGTATGACCCAGGAGTGTGGTTCTTCTCTTTCCAAACCTCTCACAGCCATTTTTCTCAAGAGGTCAGAGATTTAACACAAGTTGCTGAAACAGCACCACCGGTCATACACCGTTGGTGGAATGTTCTAGGTAGAGGGGTGAGGCTAAGGGGCTAAGGGTGCAGGAGGCTGGTTGTTGCTCTGGGCTCCTTATACCAAGCCTGGAGCCTCCAGCTACTGAGGTAAAGGCTGTGATATCTGATGGAGTTTCCTCGTTCCCTCAGGCCTTGAGCCAAGCTGCATACCCAAGGCTTCAAAGCACTAGGGTCTGCAGGGGCAAGGTGGGACCTTGGGTGGTCTCAGCCCATACCCCTGCTGGGCCGCTGCGCTTCCTCTAATGGTGTGTCTCTCTCTGTGTGTATGTGTGTGTGTGTCCCTGCCCAACAGCACCCGAGGCCTCGCTGTGCCCCCAGCACCGCACAGGGCCCCCGCTGGGTCAGAGTGAGGAGCTGCAGCCACTGAGCCAGCGCCACCCCTTCCTGCCGCACCTGGGGCTGGCTTCCCGCCCAAATGGCGACTGGTCCCAGCCCTGCCTCACTTGTGACCGCGCAGCCCGAGGTGGGACAGCGGTTTGCTTTTCTCCTTCCTAGAAACGCTGGGCAGCTTGCTGGGGGTGGTGGTGCTTGGCATGCCAGTACAGCCAACTCTCTCCTCGTCTCCGGCTGGGCCAGCTCTCCAGCTGCTAGCGGCCTAGGACTCCTTTCTCCTTCTCCCCAGGAGCTTGCTGCGCGCTGTACCTTCCCTGCCGCTAACACAAGTCACTTGCTCAGTAGGGGAGCTGCTTTTGGGGTTGGCATGGGGTGATGGCCCCTGTTCTCCCCACACCCTTTTCCTGACACAGTGGAGAGGGTTCTACTGCCTGCCAGGCACTGGTGGTGGTTGATCGAACCCCTGGGCTTGATGAAGTGGAAATGTGTGATTTATACCTGAGGGGATCCTGGCAAGTAGCAGATCCTCACTTGGTCCATGGAAGCCATTATCCTAATGTGGTATCAGATGCCTGGCTGAGCATCGGATTGTTTCTGCTTCCCTATGAACTGCTGCCAAGGTGAACAGAGAGTTAGCTGTACTGTCAATTCTAGGTCACAGTGTTTGAAGGTACTGGATTCAATGGGTAACTAAAAATGGAGCTTCTCTTTTGGCTAATTAATAATGTATCCTGGTCAAAGCTTACACTGTTGCAGGTTAAACTGAAAGCAGATTTTCATGGTTGCCTACAAGGAAATGCTCTATTTATGTTCCCTCTGCTCACAAGTGGGAGCAGAAAGTTGTCTGTCCTACTCTTAGCCACCAGGGTGCCAACAGCAAGCCCTTGCCCAAGCTCCCTGATAAGGTGGCCAGCTCCATTCAGCCCTGGAGACAGTTACGGTTCATTCGTGCTTCATTAATATTACAGTTGTTTGACTTGGGTATACATGTGATCACTATATTTAGCTCTGGGATTTTTTTCCTTCATGCCCCTACCTTCTCCTATCAGTTTATACTGAAGTTTGGCTTCTCCTAAATCAGTGTTAGAAAATGTAGGGAGGACCAGCTTTGCCCATTAAAGAATGCCAAGGGCAAAGCTTGTTTGGAAAGGTCACCTAAAGACATGTGAGTTACATGCCCAGTTCTCCCTCTCCATACTGTGTCCCACAGAACAAACGTCATGGAGTGCCCTGTCACCATCATGAGTTCTCTACTCAGTCTCGTAAGTGGTGAGGTCTGTTGAGCCTTGTCTGATTTTGTGTTCACCTGGCTGATTGGTGTTCTTGGGACGGTTGCATAGTAAGACTGGGCCTGGCTGTCTCCTTTAGTCTTGACTCTACACCATTGCTTAAGCTGTCTCCTCTGCTTGGATGGCCACCCACAAATAGGGCAAGCTGCTCATGTATACAGCATATTAGGTCTCTTCTGTCTTTCAGCTCTGATGTGAACTAAAGATACATGAAAGATTTTTTTCCTTTGGTTATTTATGCTCCAGATGAATTCTGGGCAAACAAGAATGAGGTAGAAGTGCTTTTCTCCCTACAGCTCAACCCAGCTTGTCTCAATGTCTCTTTTGTTCTTGTTTTTCTGCTTTTTCTTGGAGTTTCATAAAGTGTTGAATATAAGGTAGATAGTTCTTGGATTGATCCTGGAGGATTTGTTTGGAGCATACTCACTTGGAAGTCAGCCTTGGAGAAGTCAGAATAAGGCCTGCTGTTCATCCCTTCATGCCCCTAGTGAAAATGAAGGCTCTGATTCAGGAGAGATGCTTGTGAGGGGTACACTCAGGGTTCCAGGCCATCAGGAGAGGCTTTTTGAGAAGACAGAAGACAGACAGCAGGGGTGAGAGGGGTGGGGGTGGGGTAGGAAGGGTGGGGGGGGGGAAGAGTAGGGAGTATGAGTGTCAGGGTCAAAGGGCAAGTGTGCCTTTGATTGTTATCCTGATAGCCATTGAAGAATTTTCTTTCATGAGCCAGATCTCATTTCATCTTCCCTCTTCCCTACTGTCCTCAAACATCTGTAGATCTGACCGTCAGCAGCCCCCATTTACATCCCCCTATCATCTTTATAAGTGATGCTCTAGTGCTGAGTTCCCTGTGGAATTGTCCCTGAGCCTTTGACAAGGGAGACAGAGCCTTCTTTGATGATAGACCTCGGTTATCCTCCTCTTCCACCCTCCAACCTTTGCTTCTCAGCCTCTACTGGGCCTTGTCTTCCCTCAGAAGCACCCTAGACCTCAGTTCTGCTGGTGGCTGCCCTTAGGGCAAGGCTCCAAGTTCTACCTCCCCCTGCCCTCTCCAGACTACGCGTGTGTCAGGCTGTGCTAAATGCAGTAGAGTCCTTTCCTTTGTGGTACTAATGTGGTAATGGGAAAGAAAACATAAGTAAATGGTATAGCATGTTACATGAGGAATACTCTGGAACACAGCAGCACATAAACAACCCAGCCATGGCTTTCTGGAAGAAGTCAGGATGGTTTGCAGTATGAAACACACAGGATTGGAGGAAGAGGAGAGGGTGCTCATGGAAGAGCATTCCTGGGAGGAGCATCAGACAGAAGTCTGGGGTGGAAATGTGCTGGCAATTGAGGACCAGGAGGTGGCCAATGCCTAATGAGGCTGGAGCCTCATTAGCAGGGAGAGGATGGGGCATGGCAGAGTCATTCCTGCAGGGGGCACAGGACCTGCAACTTCTGACGGAAGTATTCCTTTAATTCCTAGTTCATCGTTGGTTAGTGTTTGGGAGTTCTAGCCAGAATCGAAACTATTAAGATCTGCAAGTGCTTACTCTCACTGTGTTTACTTTCCATTGACCAGGAGCCCTACTCAGTAGATTTAAGCCTCTATCAAAAGGCCTCTGGGTGGTTACTCTGCAATGGTGAGGTAGGGAGAGTCCCAAGCAAAATGGTGAGAAGCACTGCGGGAAGTCTCTGTGGCTGTGGGGGGCAGGGCAGGAGCAGGAGACCAGTCAGGAGGTCACATTCTCATCCATGTGGAAGAGGATAGGTCTGGGAGTTGGGTGGTGGTAGAGGTCTGGGAAGTAGCCAGGCCTTGAGTATGTCCTAAAGAAGAGCTGAGAGGATTTTCTGGAGGCCTGCACCCACACTGAGGGATAGAAGGTGAGGGGAATTCTGAGGCCTGTGAACAGGGGCCAGGAAGTAAGGATGGCTGTGGAGGAAGCAAGTTTAGGGGCAACATGTGAGGTATCTATGCCACATGTAAGCCGAAGTGTCCAGTTGGGAGACAACTCTGAGCCAGAGGTGCAGGTGGGGACATGGTACATGGATACTAGTTTTGCTTTTTCTGCTCTTTGGCTTCTCCTGGTGCTCATGTTTAATTGGGGGCTCAGGGTATACTTGCCTGCATTGGCTACCTTCCCATGGTCCTGCCATGCAGTTAGGACTGTGTGTGTTAGCAAAGCTGTCTGTCTTAGAGAAGCATTTTTGGGCTTAGATTGCTGAGGGATTTGCCCAAAATGGCAGAGAAAGCTGACAGCATGGGCTGGAACACTACTTCTCCCACCTAGGGCCCTTGCCATCCTTTCAGGTTCTACAGGACTGGCCATAACCTGAGTGCCCGGGAAGAAGTTGCAGAAGTTTTTTGGGGTGGCGCGTAAAGTGGCAGATGGGGGATATGAGATCTCTTCAGTGAGTTAGGACAGAAGAAAGATAGCTGCCATTCAAGAATGTAACACTCTCAGGATGGGGCCAGATTTCTTCCTCCCCCTCCTCCTCCCCCTCCTCCTCCTCTCCCTCCCTCCTCCTCCCCCTCCTCTCCCTCCCTCCTCCTCCCTCTTCCCTCCTCTTCCTCCTCCTCCTCCTTTTTCCTCTCTTCTACCTGGCCTAACTCCCATCAAGGGCTGGTTTATGAAGCAGTGTTTTCTCAGACAGCTCTGCTTCCTCTTGCTGTGCACCCTGCATCAACCTGCAGAGGCAAGGCCACATCTGCCTCAATCTACTCCAAACCAGCCCCTATTGCCTGTGCCAGTCTTCTTGTTCTTAAGAAAAAGGACAAGGAAGAAAGGAAGAAAGAAGGCAGACATGCTCAACACTGATTTGCTCTTTTGAACCAGAATAACTTGAAGTCCTGGATCAAAGCAGCATTGGCAAGCTGTTCTCCAGGTGGTTCTGCCACTTGCTCTTGGTCTGGGAATGCCTGACAGTCTTGTCTGTCTGGGTGATGCCTTGGGCATTCTGAGCCCTATGGTGTGGCTTAGGTCTTCTCCCAGGGGAATGTCAGGGAGTCCTACAGGCCTGAGCAAACACTGTGGGCAGAGACTGCCCTCACATACTATGACAGTGGCTTACCAAGTGATTACTGGAGATTACAGCCAGCCGTTGAATGCCTTTATTCCGCTACACTCCACAAAGGATTTGAGTTGGCTTACAAAACACATGCAGTGCCATGGATTAGATGGATTGCTAGCAGAAAGAAGTGGGGCAAAAGGAAAATAAGGATGAGAAAATAAAACAGAGCCAGCCAAACACAGTGGCTAGAGGTAGATCCAAATTCGGCTTTGAACTTATTAGCCACCAACCCCAAAGAAGGCAATTGCTCTTTGATTTCTAGACAGGGGTCCAAAGGCTTGATCCTTACTGTGCATGCAGTAGGGCAGAGCCTGAGAACACTTGCCCAGAAGAGCATGCACAGCACTGTGTGAGCACTGTCCTCAGGGCCACTGCCCCTCCCTGGATTCCTGTGGGCTGAGTTGCTATTCTCTAGTGGCCCAGCAAGAATCCAAGTGGAGGCTGGCATGACCATTGCATTTCCTCTAGCACAGAGCCCCTTCCAGCTGTTCCCCTTTTTCAGTACCAGGGTTTGAATCCAGTGGTCAAATTTGCTTGGCTTGCTTGCTCGGTTGGTGCTCTACCACTTGAGTCATACCCCCAGCCCAACTTTTGGAGATAGAGTCTCAAGGTCTTATCTTCAAAACTGTCCTTTGGGTCTCAGCTCCCTGAATAGCTAGGTGTGAGCTACTGGTACCTGGGTTATCCCTTTCCTTTTTTCTCATAATGGCACTAGGAGGTGGGCAAGGTAAAGTGGCTTTTAATATGGGAGTGGCTGGAGTCAGCCCAAAAATTCACTCAGGAATGAAGAATTTGAACTGGTACTTTTGAACCCTGGATGTCTTTCTTCTCTTTGCAACTAAAAAAAAAAGTTTAAATTTTGTTTTTTGGTGCTGATCTTGGGGCCTGGCTAATGTTCTACCATTTGAGCCATACCTCCATTTCCCACTTTTCTTTTTGGTCAGTTGTAGAGCTTGAACTCTGGGCCTGGGCGCTATCCCTCAGCTCTTCAGTTCTAGGTGAATGCTCTACCACTTGAGCCACAGTGCCACTTCTGGCTTTGAACCTTTATCCTCAGATCTCAGCCTCCTGAGTCCTGAGTAGCTAGGATTAAAGGCAGGAGCCACCGATGCCTGGTCTTTTCTGATTTTTTGGTCATTAGTTGGAGATAAGAGTCTCACAGACTTTAGTACTCAGGTTGGCTTTGAAATGCAACCCTCAGATCTCAGCCTCTTAAGTAGCTCGGATTATAGGCATAAGACTCCGGCACCTGGCTAGTAGTTCGCTCGTTTTTTGTTTTTTTTTTCCAGCCAAATAGAGGAATATGGAATATGTCTTGCAAATTTTAAGATTGTGTGGTCTGTCACACATAATGCTTTCTTTTATGGCTTTTTAAAAGCAGAAAAGCCTATTTAAACTGTTACTTAATTGGGACTCAGATCTTGAAGAGCTCTCTGGTGGTCAGAGAGGGATGAGATTGTTCTCACAATGGAAACACACAGTCAACATTTCTGATTTGGGGTTGCTAATTACATGATTGAAATAGGCTAATACCACAGACAATGGAAATAATCAGTATGGCACCATCATCTTGTCTTTAGAGCATCCTTTGTAGTATAGGCAAACAACCGGTGGCCAAAATACCAGCATAGTAGAAAAGAGAGGTAGTTCAGTGAGGACAACTCTGTCACTGAGCTGCTGTCTTTGATACATCGAATGCTCAGGATAGCAGATGCTAGTTTCAAGCAGTCAACTTCAAGGGGGATATTTTAACCGTTTACATGAATCCAAGTAGGAAGGAAGGCTTTGTTAAGG